GCTATTTGCCTTTTCTGTACTCATTCATTCTTTCACAGGTGTGGGGTAGAGTTTCTGGAGGCTACATGACATGAGTTAACATGATTGCTGTGACATTTTTTTTTTAAGATTTTATTTATTTATTTGACAGAGATCACAAGTAGGCAGAGAGACAGGCAGAGAGAGAGAGAGGGAAGCAGGCTCCCTGCTGAGCAGAGAGCCCCGATGCAGGGCTAGATCCCAGGGATCATGACCTGAGCAGAGCCGAAGGCAGAGGCTTTAACCCATTGAGCCACCCACGCGCCCCTTTTGTTTTTATTTTTAAATTTATGAATACACAATACAGATTTTTTTAGTTTCACTTTTGTCTATGATATACATTGATAGATGTAGCACATAGATAAATCTTTGGGGGATCTTCAATTTTTAATAGTATAAAGGGGCCTATAACAAAGAGTTTGAGAACGATTGCTGCTTTCAATGTCAACTTTATTAATATTTTTTCCCTTCTGGAATGTAGTGGGTTTTTTAAAACTTATTTAAGAAATTCTTTCCAATTTTCATAAAGATGGGCTCTTATATTTTCTTCTAGAAGTTTTGGAATATATTTTTGTGAGTGGCATCTGCTGTTTCCTAGGCTCTTCAACCATGAGGGATAGTTTTTAAATTTCACACCCTCTTAAGAAACTTTTACATAGGTTGAATAGAACATTTCCCGCAAAGATCCTCACAATGGAATTTATTTATTTATTTATTTAGTTAGTTAGTTAGTTAGTTATTTTTTAGGGGGAGGGTGAGGGAGGGGATGGGGGAAAGGATCAGCAGGGATTTAGGCACCTTCTTCATATCCCTTTCATTCAAGAGAGTCTCCTAGCATTTTGCAAAGTACAGTAGTCTCTTGTCGAGGTGGTGTACACCCTCATTTTGGATCCTTGCATTCATTAGTTCATTGTAGCTTGCTGCTCAGGGGACCAGAACTTCCCAGTGACTGGGATTCTGGAAGCATATCTCCTTTTCAAAACCCCCACTTTCCACTAGACACTTGAGTTTGTTTATCATGGAAGCACCAGAGCACTTCATCCTGGTTGTGTCTGCGCTGGGCAGGTGGGCAGGCAGCTGGTGTGCTAACTGTAGTCTGGGGTATGAATGATGGCCCCTTACAAGAGAAAACGCTGCTGACATCCAACGCCTCATCATCTCTCTTCACACGTGTACTGGTTTTTGTCTCCAGTGTCTTCCCCACTTCCCTCCCCTCAAGTCTGTCTTCTACCCTGCTACCGGAGTAACTCTGAGAATTTCAGTCTTAGAACCAGCCTTCTCTCCTTAAAACAAGAGAAGTCAAACTCAGGGCTCACTCAAGGACGTATATTAAGGTGCATATGCCTTAGCAATGTAATCCTCATCTGTGCTTTCAGCTTCCTCTCTAGCCACTTCCCTGTCCTGTGCTCTAGCCTGCACTTTGTCATTCCCATAATAAAAATCCCGTGGTGCCTTGCGCTATTCCCTCCATCTCAAGTGTTGCTCTCCATTCGTGTGTTAGAGGAGAGCCTGTTTGACTCTCAGACCACCCAAAACTCAATGAGTATGAATTCGGAGAGGATGCTTTCATTTTCATCTTTGTCTCCCCACTGACTCAGTCTTTCCAATTAAAACGAACACTCGAGGTTAATTTCTGTTAAGTCTTTGTTTCACTTGTGGCTTTGTTAAGGCACAGCTGCTCAGTCTCCAACCCTTCCCCACAAGTTCCTTCCCCATAAATTCTGTTACAGGATTGGCCCCTGTCATTTTGCAGCCCAGTTGTTCAGTAGCTGCAAGAGAGGGGGATTTCTTTTGCGGTTAAGGAGCCCATGTAGACATCCTAGTAAATCTTCAGCACATCCTGCCTGCTTGAAGAGGATGCACTGAATGAAGAGGTTGGAAACACCTCGTCCTTCACTCTCCCCACCACCAATTCAGCCGTTGCTTATTTTGAAGTGTAGTAAATTGACTGGTATATTTAAAAAGTGCTACATGAATTGCATGTACGTGTTATGCTGCTGGCAGAAGGGCTGTGCTCGGAGATGGTACTGGGTGGTGCTGCTTTTCCCATTTAGACACACCCAGCCTCCCACCTCCCCTTCACAGCCTAAAAAATAAAATTTCATGAACCCTGGAAATCTGTTAGAGATGCAAATTAGGAAGATCAACTTTTTATTTTCTGAAAGAGCTTTATGACGGGAGTCCACAAGGTACCAAGAAAAGGGGCTTCGTCTGCTTTGCAAGACTACCGGCCTAAGTGGCCTTGCTAGAAGAGGGGTGGGGGTGGCAGTTAAGACAGGGAAGGCCCTGGGGCGCCTGGGTGGCTCAGTGGGTTAAAGCCTCTGCCTTCGGCTCAGGTCATGATCCCAGTGTCTTGGGATCGAGCCCCACATCGGGCTCTCTGCTCTGCGGGAAGCCTGCTTCCTCCTCTCTCTCTCTCTCTCTGCCTGCCTCTCTCTGCCTACTTGTGATCTCTGTCAAATGAATAAATAAAATCTTTAAAAAAAAAAAGACAGGGAAGGCCCTGCAGGGGGAGCTCAAGGCAGAGGCTAGCAGGTGGCAGGCGCCTTCTTCCTGTTGTTACTGCATCTGAAAGGAGTTGACTTTCTTTGGCAGTTTGTAGTTTATTGTAGTTCTGGAGAGTGTTCTCTAGGTAAGTGGGGAAAGTAAGACAGCACAAGGGGAAGAGTTATTATTCCTTGGGTTATGTTGCTGATAAGGGCAAAGCTAAGATTTGCTCTGCTGCACACTGCCTTCTAATTTATGCAGACAGGCTAGGTGGATACGAATTCTTAAGTTCAGGAGAAGGGGCTTATGCCACAGGAGTGAGGTCTGAAGGCTTACAAATGCTGTGTTGCTAGCTGTGGAGACATTAGGTCTTCATATGGACCTGGGCCTAAGAGGTTTCCTTTGTGGTTAATGCTTTTCTTTCTTGTTACTTAAGGAGCAGTGCTAATGTTGCTGTCATGTTTGAGTACTAGTAGCTACAAAAGTGAAATATTAGGAGTACCTAGATAAGGCTTGCAGATCAAGCAAATGATAGGGGTTGTCTCCTTCTACTCCAGTTTGTCCACACCTCCTTGCCTGAAACCCAGGCACTCTGGAATACATAAGAAAACAATCCTTATGTAATCAAACCAAATGTATGAAATACAAAATCACCACCCTACCACCCCCGCCAAAAGTGGTTATTGCCAAAAGATTTGCCAACCACTGAAGGTGTCTCTGTGCAGCTGTTTTCAATAGCAGGTGTCTCTGGTGGATGTAAAATACGATTGCATTCACACCCAACCTTTTAGGGTCACATTTGGTGTTGAAGGCCCATGAGGGAAAGAGGAGGTAGGGGAGCTCCCAGTGGCACCTCGGGCAGTATCAAGTGAAGCATTAGGTTGGGCCTCTGGCTCTGAACACAGTGCTGAGTCCCACGTCTGCCCATTAGGATCTGCCTCCTTTTTCTCCCTGCAGCTCCTGTTTCCTGTTCGCTGCGCAGCTGGCTCCTTTGCCAAGCATGAAGAGTCTAGATGTCAAATCCTTTCTCTCTGTCCTGGCAGGAATGCTGTTCTGTTTGTTTTCCAAAAAGCCTTTTTACACTTGGGGAATTTTTTTCTTTTCTCTTATGGGAAGTTGCTTCATCATTTCCCAAAAATATACCACACCTCTTGTTTAAACAGGGTGCCCTTGAAGAGCTTTGGAGCCTGAAGGGGGTGGAGATGTTGTGAAATCTTTTGTTCGAAGCTTTGATGCAAGCCAGAATACTGCTGTTTGCAGGCAGAAGTCTCGGAGTTTGCCAGGACTGCGTCCAGCAGTGGGGTGTGGGCAGGAGAGACTCTCAGGGAAGCAAGAGCTGGGGTCTTCTAAAGCAATTAATCAGTCCATGTTCTAAGAGGTCTCAGCCCTTCCAGATACAGCCTCCATCAGGTGTTTGTCCAGTGCCTTAAATGTGCCCAGGCGGGTAAAGGCAGATTCTATGTCCTTTTGGGATGTTCACAGTACCCTGGAAAGACAGTATCAACTCACGTGTAGCAACAGACGGTATGTAAGTGTGTGCTAGGTTGTGTGGCCGTGGATGTTTTAGCCCAGAGGAAGGAAGTTCCTTTAGGAGGGAGCACTGAGATCAGCCCTGCACAGGAGGTTGGGTTTGAATTGATGGAGGGAAAAGTGGAGGATAGTGAGGAGAGGGGAAGTTGAGAAGAACCAGAGGGCTGATCTGAGGCCATGGTCATGGGTGAGTAAGGCCAGTGCAGGTAACTCGTGGGGCTTGGTATTGGAGAAATGGGACGAGTCAGTTTGTGGAGAGCCTTGCATATCCAGCAGAAACATTTCTACTTGTAGAAAGAAATTGGCAGGCTTTCAAAGATTCTAAGAAGAGAGCATTGGAAAAACGTGGGCTTTGTTTTGTTTTTTTGGAAGATTAGTTTACTAGGGTAAATTGGAGTATTCTTCTAGGTGCGCAGTGGAGGGGTTCCCAACTCTATCCATAGTTCTTAGGGTGAAGTCATGCAGTTAGGTTCTGGCGGGGAAGGAATGGCCTGGTGGAAGTCTCTTATGAGCATGGTCCCAGGGGCCTGTGCCAGTAACCCTTTGCATCTCCCCTAGGAGGGCACAACAACTCCAGCCATGAGGTCGTTGCTGTCTGAGTAAGTAGGACTAGCTGTTGAGTGCCACCCTGAGTAAAGCTTTTTCCAACCAGGCCCTGCTCGGTGTAGAAGGGATGTCCCCTGATAGGCCCTGTGGGACCAGGCATAATGTGCTGCAGGTTCCAAGCCTCCGGCATCATTGTAGAATGTGAGTTACCAGGGACTACTGCTCAGGTCCAGTTGGTGCGAGTCACATCATGCCTAACGAGCAGTAAAAGTGCTGTTTCCACATCCTTTGCCAGTGTTGTGTATTGTTACCTTCCCCTGTACCTGTACCCCCTTAACAATTTTAAATAAGGAATTTGGGTAACTTTGAATTATAAGTAAAAGCAAAGAGGACCAGTGAAAACATGCTCTTCCTAATAGAGTATCTATCTAGTAGTTGCTCTTAGTGAAAAATGAAACTTGGGAAAATAAATTTTTGTTGAGAGATTGTAGCAGTTGAGGACAAACAAGCATAAGCAGGTTATGCTTATCGCAAGATCTATTAATTTCCAGTGGGAGGGGAAAGCGAGTGGTTGCCAAGGGAGGTACTGCTCAGTTCTCTTAAGTCAGGAAATGAATGACAGTTTCAATAGCAGCTGCTGGGCCTGGGGCCGGGCCTGCCACTCCCAGCCAACGCAGCCCAAGCTCCCTGGCACAGACCCACCACACGGCCAGTGTAGGCATTGTGGGTGCAGCCCTGGGCGGCAAGCAGTTCCTCTTTGAGGATCACCCCAGCCTGTTGCCAGGCCAGGGTGTAGGCCAGGCAGAGGTTCCACTGCCAGCCTTGGTTCTCTCTGTCTAGGGGTCTGCGTCCCTGGCCCAAGGAGAGGTCCTGGGGGGACACTTGGCTGGAGCCTTGCATCTTCAGCTGCCACTTCATATTACAGTCTTGTAAGACCAATGCTTTCTTCCTGTTTTCCCCAGGTACTCTGCTCTGGATTGCTGGTAGATAAACTGCTAAACCCATTCTGAGTAACCACTTCATTATAGTTACTGGGAGAGGGTCTCCCTATGGTTGTGGGAGAGGGTGCTCCCTAAAACAGGGCTTGACGTTCAGGGGCCCTGCCCCACATTTGGGGAGGGTCTGGTGGTCTTTATGTTTGTTTTTCTCTGTCCTTCTGAGAGGTGAGGCTAGATGGGAAGATTGAGGGAGACGCGGAAGAGGGGAAAGCAGCAGGCCCGGAGTTCAGAATCAGTTGCTCTGCAGTTTTGGGGTGTATGGTTTCATTTGATTTTGCAGAAGGGCTGCAGATATGCGTGGGCTAGCCCGAGAGGACAATACACACTGGCGTGGAGATTGTGAGGCACACTGATTCCATTTCCCACAGGCCAAGTTGCTCCTTGTTGGGGAAGGAACCATCGTTCTACTAACTTGTTCCACTGCAGGGTCTGGCCAGAGACATCTGCCAAGATTGTAAGGCTCCCTGATTGCATGTGCGACAAGCGTTTTCTCTCAACAACGCACAGAGGCTGGGGAAGCCCGGGATGAGCTGTCATCCTGAGGAACAGGCTTGGGGCAGGTGCTGATGAGCGCGACTAACTCTGGTGAGGCGCAGACCTCCGCCTTGGATATGCAGCCCTGGCTTCTTTGTAGAATGCAGGTGTGTGTGTTGCTGGGCCCAGAGAGCCTGGATCCTAGACACACTTCTCATTTGTATCTGGGCCTACCTAAGAATTTACTTTCTCTGAGTTCACTGATATGATTGTGGGCCTCTGGGACCAGGGGAACAAGGAGGCAAAGAATGCAAATTTGACTCCTTGTGAGATGATTCTAAAGCAACACTGAGCCACCAGCTTTTAAACATTTGTCTTTGGCACAACCTGTTCTTTGGTCTGTTGGAAGCTGACACCAGTTACCTTTGTGTGATGAATTTGGACTTTTGTGCAGCAGTTGAGGAAGAAACTCTTGAGCAGCCGCGGGTTGTGGCTACGTGCCCTGAGTGCCGTGCCCTGAGCACGTACGTACCCTGAGCGTGTGCCCTGAGTGCTGTGCCCTGAGCCGGCCCCAACTGTGCAGCCATGTATGCTGGAGTGGGACCTTGAGTGTTTTGGACCTTTATTTTGCAAGGGTGAGTTGAAAATGGAAAAAAGACATTGATTGCTAATTGTAGTTAGAAGAAGGGTAGCTCTTCTAACATTGATATAATTGAGGAAAAGCTTTTGAAAATTCAGTGGGCATGCCAGAAGGGGGGGAATTGTTCATGTCAGGTGAACACTTGCTGACTGAGTCAACAGCCCTGCGTAATTGTGAAGACGAATAAGCAGAATTAAAGAATAATATATAAAACTGCCAAACTGTATTGACCAAGATCGTATCTAAAGGCAGAGTATAATTAGGCATTTTACAATCTTGTTTGGCTCTGAGGACATGACTTCCTTACAATACATGTAAACCTCTTATTTGACTTTCGGGGGCCCTTTCAGGGAAATGGGGGGACTTCCTATAGCCAGCTTCTGGAATAACAAAGAGTTATGCAAAAATAAAAGCTTCTCTGTAAGGGCGCAAGGCCCTTCCATCCCTTCCAGAACTGAGAGTCCGTCCTTTAGAATCCATTCTGTGTTGACCTACTCTCTGATGTATTAATGCCTTTACCCCCTCATTGTATTCATTTATATGCTAATGTCCACCGTCTCTTTTCCATTTAGATACATTATGATTTTAAGCTGTCAGGTAGGCTTCTATTTTAAAAGACCTGGCTGCTTAAACATTGCCAGCCTCCTCTCACTGGAAAAGCCCCAAGTTTAGGGGGCCGGGTGGAGGTAAGAAGAAAACCACCACCAGAATAAACCAGCTAGCTCCTAGGCTGTGAGCTTTTTCATATTCTCCAGTCTCCGCCTCTCTCTCTTTCCGTGTGGAGTTGCACGTGTGTGCTTGAAGCAGTATAAGCGACACCCCACCTCAGTGCACTATAGTAGAAAGAGAAAAACTCTTTAATTACCACAGCGTTGCAGGCTTCTCCCATGGCTGGCTGGCCACAGCATGGAGTTGGTAAGCATACAGTGTCTTTCATACTTGCCATTACAACATGTTAATTAAGAGAATTCAGCTGTGGCACCAGCTGGGGATGTCTAGCTTTGTGGAAGATTGCAATTAGATGCTTTATTTTCTATTTTCTTTTTCCCCTTTCAACTTTGGTGGAATGCCTTTGAGTAGGGGCTTTTCGTCTCAGCAGTATAAATACTTTAATGTGCCTAATTATGTAATCGTACACTTACGCTCCTCTGTGTACACACACATGGTTTTATGGATTTTTATCCCCTTTTCTCGTACATGAAACACCCTGCCTGCTTTTTGGTTGGTATGGGAGAGCCAGATTCCTTCGTGCATGTCAGGCAGGAAGAAGAGGAGATCAGAGGCAGTTGTGACTTTCCTCCACTTATAATCTATCCCTCCTGCCCCCCTCATTGACCCATTGACCCTTTTATGGGCAAGTCCTTTATCTCTCAAATAGTTAGCATCTCAGTAGTTTCCTAGCAAAGTCAAGGTAATTTAAATAAAATTGAACTTTATAATACTGTCTTTCCATTAATTTGCAAGAACCGGCTTCCAAAGCGAGTGTTATTTTTCCCAGTCCTCTGTTCCAGGCAGGCATAGGGCATTAGCCTGGACATGAGAGCGCATGCATGAAGGCACAATGGAGCCCATTGATTTCTAGCATGCAGCCTGTGCAAAGAGGTCCTGTAACCCCAGCTGTTAGAATCAGGACCTGGGAGCAGCTGCTTTCTGAGATCCACTCCTCTGTGGATAGGCCATCTGCTGCCATGTGAGTGAACCTGGGAAAGAAACTGACACCTTTGTGTTCCTTTTCTCTGCTCCAATCCCTCCATTTTTTTCCTTGCATTCTCTCTCCGCGCCCCCCCCCCCCGCACATATATCTAGGCAAACTTAGGCAGCATGATGAATCTGCACCAGAAAACTCACATGGTTTTCCTCTCTGTCCTTCCCTGTCCCGACTCCACCACACCAGCATACCCTGCTCCGTTGAAAAATAATTTCGAGAGGAGGCAGTTACATTTATATGGCTGGCTTCTTCTGCTGGATTAGTTCTAGAGAGCAGGCTTTCATTTTATTATTAGCAACATCACTTTGCATTTTAGAACTGGAAGGGTCCTTAAAATCTCATTTTATGGAAAGGGAACCCAGTATTTTTTATTTCTCAGCTTTGTATTCAGGATCTTCCCTGTTGTGGTGCTGGCCTGATTTTCTAAATGTCAGCTGTCTCCGGTTAAACATGGGAGCTTCTGCTGCTTTCCATACAGACCTCTTCTTGCTTCTCTGCCTGTGATGGTGCTCTCATCTCCCCCTTAGATGTTCTTCCTGCTCTCCTTTATTCCCATGGTCATAATCCTGCTTGCCCCAAAAGTCAGAGTCTAATACCATTTGTTGCATCCTTTCTGATCTTTTCCTCATTAGATTAGTCCTTCTTCAGAACTTCCTGTCCTATGCCATGTTGATTTCTAATGTGTGTCCATTATGGTTACGTACTAGAGAGTAAGCTTTCAGAGAGGGGAGTCTATGTGTTTTTCATCTGCCCCGCTCCTTCTCCCCTTGCCTGCAATAGTGCTTTGGGACTTAGTAAAGACTTGTGGAAAGAATGAATGGATAAATGTAATCCTTATATGAACTCTAGGAGATAAGCAGAGCAAATATTACTATTACCTGGTTGGGGATCCTTATCGATGTCCTCAAAGAGTCTAAAGTCTTCAGGGACAGAACCATGTATTATTTACTCTTGAATTTCTGGCACCAATCTGGCACCTTGGTAGGTAGGTGTTTAATAGATATTTGTTGAATTACTGAAGTGTAATTCCTATTAGGAAAGTGAAACCCAGGGAGATTAAGAATCAACACTTGTAAATGTTTTTCACTCTCTTCTGGGTGAAAGTTATTAAACCCGCTTTTTGGAAGACAAAAAGTTAAAGGGTATTTTCTGTTGACCTGTGTGACATCTGGACATAATTACCTACTAACACATAGAATGGGTGAGGCTGCAACAGGCAATGTGTTCTGACCAGGGATCTTGGACTGGTTAGTCAGAAATGACTTGGCAGAGTCAGGGGTCCAAAGACAGGAGAGGCGGGGCGGTGGGGGACTGGTGACAGGAGCACAGGCCTCAGCATGATTAGTAAGAGCACAGTTGACATCCTACTGTGACTCTGACCTGGTCTGGGCCCAGCCTTTACTAATCTGTTCTGAGGATGCTCTGCTTAGTGATTTAGGAGTTTCCACACTGTGCTGGAGCCAGGATGGTAAATACACAGGCTAAATCAAAGGGGAGGCAAGTCCCAGTCTTCTGGAAAAGCGCCTTGAGAGCCATGTGCCCTGCCTTGGACCTCACAGTGGATTTTAATGGATTCCCGCTGTTTTTAAAGTTTCTTAAAAGAGGCATAAATAGGCCTCAGAGAAAAGCAATTGCGAAGGATTTGCCTCCCGTGCTTGGGAGAAGGAACAGAGTACCCTGTGGCAGGCCACCTCTCCATTGACCTCAGTGGCCCCCTCTGGTCCAGAATTTTAGAAAGACCCAAATGTTAAAAGGTAGAGAAGAACAACAACAACAGCAAAAACCCTTGGGAGAGTTTGACTCCTCATTATCTTTGATCAGCTGATGGTGGCACAGGGTGGTAAGTTCACTTTCTAGGAGGTACAAAGGAAATCAAGAAGTCTTGATAAGCTGCGTTTTCTGTGGTAGCCATGTGAGAGAGAGTGGTTTAAGATCAAGTGTTTCAAGAAGAGAATCCCGTCCCCCACAAGACAGAGGAGGAAGAATACCCAGATCAGTGGACTTTATAACTGTGGATTCCCATCTGCCTATGCCCATTGTCACCGTGTGCCTTATACCTGTTGGTTCAAAGGTTGTAAGAGCTTCATTACCCCCACTCGTCCTAAACAACAGCAACAACAACAGCAACAAATAAAAAAACCTTTTCCTTTTGTATTTCCGGTCCCTGTCTTATGGTAAAGTCAGGCCCAACTTGAGCCCCCACAGAATGTACAAGACTTACTTCATGGCATGCCTTTGTTAACCTTAAAAATAAAAGTCCTTTGTTTTACCAGCAGAGATGGGTTTACTTAGGAATAGCAGAGAATTGCAATTCGGGACACGCAAACTATGACAAAACCATAGAGATAAGTCCAACAGACAAAATAGAGGAACTTTATTTTATGGAGGAGGAAGTTGGGAGGGGTTGTTTTGAACCACAGTCCGTTGGAGAAAAGCAGCAGTTCATGGTGATGACGATTTCTCATTGACTGAGTTGTGGGGTCATCAGTTTCTTGTAGGAGATGCAGTATGCATATTTCCCTCTTGGGGCCTATAAATGACGATTCTTCCCACTGAGATGCTCTGCTAGAGGTCTGTGACTGATAGTTCTTTGGGTAGTGGACATTGAGTGGTCTGGCTGTCCATTCTGTCCTCCCTTCTGAGTCCGCTTCGGTGGAATTTCCCTTAATTCATGTTTACAACTCAGACTCAAGTCTGTAAGTTACACCTTATATGTCATGAGGAGACCCAGTCACATCTTTCTTCAGAAAGACCATTCAAATCTTTGCCCCTCAGTTACTGGTGAGTGGTTTTCAGGGAACTATGGTGTTTTGTTGGTTCATTGAGTCCACACCTGCTCTCTGTCACCATCTGTAGTCAGAGTTGATACTGATTCTTTCCTTTTATTCTTTGAAGTTGGGTAGGGCCTCAGTGAGTAACAGGTTTCTTTTGAGCACCTTGGAGAAGCAGAACACTGCCCGAGTCACTGTTTGGTGGCACGTGGCAGAGGCTGATTATTTGGCGCTTTGGCAGAAATGCCCCAGTGACCCTTTGTGTTCCAGGAGCTGGCCCAGAAATCAGCCCACTGTCTAATTCTAATTCACCTCCCCATTCTGCGTTTAGTGACAACTTTCCTTTCATACATCCTTCTAGGAAGACTGCATTCTTAGCTGAAAATGCCCCCATACATTCTCCTCTTGCACCTTTGGTAACGGCAGTCCCTAAATAGCTTGTTTGTCACTCTCAAGGGTTAGTGAAGGAAACTGTCTCCCCCCCTCCCCTCCACTCTTCCTGAAAAATGTGGGTCCACTTGAGATTTGAGCTGAGTCCTCTGGGCACAGGTAAACTCGCCTGTTCACATTCTTATCCAGACAGGACACTGCAACTTTTGTCAGTCCTACCCCACCCCGTGTTATACCTTTGTAGGTCTTGGGGTAAATTTTTTCTCCTCACATCTGTAATCAAGGAACTTCTGTGTAAGAGGGAGAAGGGCAAACTAGAGTTTGAATCCAGACTTGTAATGCTTAGTAGCCAGGTAACCTCAGACATTACTAAAGTCTTCAAAGCTTCCGTTTCTTTCTTTTTTTTTTTTTTTTTAAGATTTTATTTATTATTTGACAGAGATACAGTGAGCAAGAGAGTGAACACAAGCAGAAGGAGTGGGAGAGGAAGAAGCAGGCTTCCCGCTGAGCAGGGAGCCTGATGCGGGGCTTGATCCCAGGACTCTGGGATCATGACCTGAGCTGAAGGCAGCCGCTTAACAAGTGAGCCACCCAGGTGCCCCCAAAGCTTCCGTTTCTTTATCTGAGCAAACTGAGTATTCTACCACCTTCCTGGTAGGACGGGAGAATTAAATGGGATGGCAGCTTTAAAGTGCCCAGGATGGCAGCTGGTGGTACATGTTCAATCTCCTCCTCTCTTCTACTTCCACCCTGCTGGACAATAGAAATCATTAAATCTGTCTTAAATTTAAATTTATGTTTCTTGAGGGCCTACTGCATATGCTTGGCACTGGCCTTGGCATTAGGAGTTACGAGTAGAGTTGGAAATGAAACCCCAACTCTGATCTTCGCGCCTGAGTCCAGCCTTGCTTCAGACTCCAAGCCAGAGTGCTAATTATCACCTGCTTATCAGTGACCCTTCTGGAGCTGAACAGTGCGCTAGGCAGCAGACGGGGACCTTCCTCCAGAGGACTAGCCTGCATCCTCTTGGAGATGGGGGATTCTGA